GGTCGAAGACGGGTTATACTGCTATTCAATCAATAAATCCTAACCTTTTGCTTGAGGTAGTGTCGAAAGTCAACATCTTGATTATATCATTATTTTCCCTTCTAGCTAAATATTTTTCTTGTTGTTGCTGTTGGAAGTTTTCAAGTGATGTGTTTTTGTAATTTATTGAAGGTCATTGTGACTCTGTATCGCCAGTCGATAAGGTCTGATGAAAGATTGTCTTCTTAACATCTAAAAGATTCATTTGCTTGAAGCCATTTTTAATCATTGATCCGAGAAACGGTACTATATAGAGAGACACTGACAGGACAAATCAAAGAAATATACCAAGCAGCAGCAGAAGTTGTCCCTTTTGTGGTTAACACACTTTTACTTTTTCCGGCATCTTTCTGCTAATTTAAATGGATTTTTTTATATTTACCTGATATGCAGTGTATATATATTTACTGCTTATAAACAGCTCACGTACTGAAGAAAATGCTCTAATCTAAAACTTGTTATCTGAATAATTTTGTGAAAAATAGGGCATCTAAGAGTCGGAAATATATCAAATCAAATAATAATAATAATAATAATAATAATAATGTAATGTAAGTACCTCCAAAAAATTTCTAAAAAAGAGCATACCATGATGAAAAAAGCCACAAACATGATAAAAACAAAGTTTTATCGCCAAAATCTTTATGTTGTTATTAACAGTAAAGACCAGAGTATTCTTTTATTAAAGTTTTTAATCCTTTCTAGCACGTTCGAAATTTTGGTTAAAATCTTTTTTTCTTGCGTCAGCGAGTGGGCTAAAGGAAATTTTGGCGTTAAAAATTCTTGCAACAATGAAATAATTGTCGGATTTTAATTACATTTTTAGAACTTATTCACAAATGAATGAAATTATTTTTGAATTTTTTTTTTTTTTTTTTGAAATCTTCGTAAAAATATATTTTTACATCTGTTACTTCCACTTAAGTTTATGAAATTTCGAGGAATTAAAATTTCAGCCTCATATTTATATTAGTTAAAAGCAATAATTCTTGGAGAATTTAAATCATCAATTTTTTTTATCAAGCAGAAAAACCACTATGACATTATTTAATTAGAAAAGCTTTTAATTGCTTTTATAAATAAGATATATTAAGCACTATATTGCCTTGAGAAAAAAGATTTTTCGATGAATAATGAATTGTTTGCATTTTTCTTTATTTTAATTGAAATAATTTATTAAGTTTTAAATCTTTTAAAATTCTGTATTAATTTCAACCTTTTAGATTATTATTATTATTAAATGAAAACCATAGTTACTAATCATAAATGGAAAAGTTGAACACAAATCATTGAACACCAATATTTTTAAAAGAATGTTTGTTTTTTGTAGCTGTATAAACGTGCCGATTTTTGTAAATGCAAGAGACCATCAGAAAATAAGAGCGATAAGTATAGTAAATTTAAACCCACAATGTCTCAAATTCAATAAAACATTAGATTACAGAGAATAATTTTCTTAAATTGTAAAGATTACTGAGTATTTAAAAATTATATGAAAAAAGCACTCGCGCCATTTTCTTCAATTATAAAGTCTCCGTAGAGCAACATTGTAGGATCCTCCATGAGATCGCTAAAAAGTGCATAGCATGATGAAAAAGGACCCAAACTTGACGAAAACAAAATCGTCAAAATTTTTGTTGTTATTAATCGTCAAACATATATCGTCAAAATGTTTGTTATTATTAATATGAAAGAACAAATTAGTTTCTAATTATTTTTTCAATTTTTTTAGAACATTCTAACTTTTGATTAAAAAAAACTTTTTTTATCGTTGTGTCAGTGGAACTACTAAATAGTATAGAAAATTTTAGCGCCTTTTTTTTTTTTGTATGACAGACATTAATGTGGAAAATCTTGCAAAAATAAAAGTAATTGTCGGATTTTAATGAAACTTTCAGAAAGTATTCACAAATGATTGAAATTATTATACATATGTTTGTTTTTAAACTCATGGCAAAAATATACTTTTAATATTTTAACCCCCACCTAACTAATTTAGGAAAACTCTAGAAACTCAAAACTGTAGTGATTAAATTAGTTAAAAGCACAAAGCTTTGAGGAAAGCAAATCATGTTTTGTTTTGTTTTTTTAATCGGACCACATCTACCTGAAAATCAGCTCTGAAGTGTAACATAAAAACCTCAATAAAACAAAGATATTATTTAATTTCAAATTCTTTTAGTTGCTTTTAGCTGTTTTCATGAATAGATAATATTGTCTGAAAGCAAAAACTTTTTCAATGAAAAATGAATTTTTAAAACAATTATTTGTTATTTCTTGAATTATTTTATTATCATTTTACATTTCAGTTTTAAAAATATTCTAAAATTAATTAAAAATGATATACAGTTTAGTCAATGATGTTATTAAAAGATACAAATTATAAATTTACAAAGCTAATTACAATCAACAGACCACCACTTATGAAAAAAAATGGTTATATTTTGTGTCCATAAAACGGTTGTAATTCAAATCTAAGGAAGACTGGAAACAGCATTAATACAATAAAAAACGACGTTATTACTAAGCGTTGTTTCCCACTGTTACGACCTTTATTTATTTTGATTTTTTTTTTTTTGCGAAAAATTCGTACGAAACATGTGTGGAAAAGTTAATTTGATTTTTCAATTTCAACTGAGAAGGGTACCTACAAGTATTACGTACCTATCTTATAAAATTTATATGATCTTATTTTCATATAAAATTTTTTTTGAAAACATACTAAAATAATACCGTAAAATGTGAAATAAAAATATATATAAAAATCTATAATAAATTATATTTATTTTATGTATTAATCTTTGATAAAATTTCATAAGTAAGGTACCTGTAAATTAATTAGATACCTTCTTATTAAAAAACCCCTCAAAATTAACAGTCTTTTTTAAAAGTTTTTGTAATATATTTTTTCCATAAAGCATCGTAAACGTAAAGGTGAACGCTAAGTACCAAAAAAAATAAAAATAGAAATGAAAATATTTTCCTTTTAAAATAACGTTGGAAAATAATTTGTTTCACTGTGTTTTTAAATAATTATGTCACTTCTTCTCCTTCCGTTTTTTTAACTTTCATTCACGTAAGACATCAATACGTGATGAAATCACCATTTCGTCACCTTGTCAAATCACCAATTGTTAAGACCTGCTTTTCTCTTATTTTTAAACCCTCATTTTTTCAGCGCAGAAAGTAAGTAATGGCTGTTTCAAAAATATCTTAAATAAACTTTAAATTTCTAATTTTTTAAAATAAATTTTTTAAAATGATAATTGATTTTAAAAATTTAAACCTGAACTTTTTTTCTTTATATATAAAATAGAAGAAATGGTTGATCTCGATTTCCTGTCAGTTTTGCTTTTAAAAAAAAAATTTTAACGAAAATTTCGTACGTGCTAGGTACGATTAAAAAAATGTAAAAAAATAATCAAGCAATCTTTCCTCTTCATAATAAGATAAACATTTAGACAGTAAAAAAATATTTTCATCAAGTTTAAGGCCCTTTTTTCATCATGCTATGCCTTTTTAGCGATCTCATAGAGAATCCTAGGTCAGCACGCCAAGACAGCTACTGTCGGGTTTTAAAAAAATTTTTAAACTTGAACGTAAATTATGCTTTAAATCAACTAAAATTCCTCAAAGAAAGTTTCAAAAAAGTATATTTCATTTTTGGAAGATTTTTTAATAAAGGGAATGGAATTGCAAAAAAAGAACGTTAATCAGCTATTTTAGTAAAAACTTCTTCCAGACAATTTAAATTAGTTTTTGCAATACAATAAAGTATTTTGTTTATTGGAAATATTAAATTTAATCTATTAGCTTGAAATTGAAACTAAAATAAAAGCTTCAAGAATGATTTTTCATCTTTAAAAAGTCATTTTAAATCTTAGGTATCTCGTTTTTTTTTTTTTTGTTTTGTTTTTTGTTGTTGTTCTTTTGTGAAGGTACCTGTGTAATAGCGTCAGAGATAGTTTTTAGATGTGTACATAAAATAAGCTTTGTGGTACATCTCTGCAACAAACAAAAGATACTTTTTAATACCCTGCTTTCTTTTTTGTCTATTTCGAATTTTTCCATCCACCTCCATGTTCTTACTTTATCTTCTTTCTTCGACGCACCGTTCTCAGAGAAAGAAGAATCCTTCGCGAAACCAAAATTCCAATATTCTACAGATTGCCGACTCCTAGACACTATGGCGTCGGCGTGTCTGACCATTAAACGCCTCCCGCCTGGTCACTTGTCATTGGCAGCAATTCCTAAGGGAGCCAGTTCAGCGCCTACTGAATATTCTAGTAGAAAACTAGGCGATAGTTTTGTCTTCAAACAATAAATCTACAAGAAAACTGCAATTCTGGGTATGAGGAGGGATGCTTAAGTTAGAATTTTTTTTTGGTAAAGTCGACGGAAGTAAAGATAAAAGAGAAAGGTGTGAGATTTATCAAATCAGGACTGAGAATCGTAAACATTAAGTAAACGAGCTGTTTATGTAAAGTGTTTTTTGAGAGAGAAAAAATATGATCATTTTTCTTCAATTTAAAAAATGTAAAATACGAAAATCCAGAAAGAAAATATATATATATTCAAAAAAAGAAAGAAAAAAAAGTAATTTAGGGGTTTAGACGTGATGAAAAAGAAAGATTTGGTTAGTTAGTTGATTTTGTTTCTGTTTGGGAGTTCACTATTTTCACATAGCTGGGACCCCTAAAAGGTACTACCACTCCGGGTCAGGGTAGAACTGGGAACAACAGCAATTAAGAGGTGGTTTCACACTTCTCAAAATTTCCAATCTCCCGATCAGAAGCCTTGCTGCCGGATGGAGTTTATAGTCATACCCAGGACTAGCGAAAGAAAGAATTCTGACATTAGAATGTAGATCTTATAATAACGAACTATACAGGACGTCAAAAAAGAAAAGGGGAATTGCTTTGATATTCATCGAACAAAGATTAACATTTACTGGAAGTCAATTAATCAAAAGTGGACTTTTGGTTTTCTTCAATTTCTTTCAGTTCAGATAGATAGATATAGATAGATAGATAGATAGATAGATAGATAGATAGGAATAGACAGAGATAGGTAGGAACAGACTGAGATAGATAGATAGATAGATAGATAGATAGATAGATAGATAGATAGAATAGACAGAGATAGGTAGGAACAGACTGAGATAGATAGATAGATAGATAGATAGATAGATAGATAGATAGATAGATAGATAGATAGATAGATAGGAATAGACAGAGATAGGTAGGAACAGACTGAGATAGATAGATAGATAGATAGATAGATGAGGGAATAGACAGATAGATAGATAGAATGAACAGACTGAGATAGATATAGATAGATAGATGAGATAGATAGATAGATAGATAGATAGATAGATAGATGAATAATGATAGATGATAGGAATAGACAGAGATAGATGGAACAGACTGAGATGGATAGATAGATAGATAGATAGATGGGAATAGACAGAAGATAGGTAGGAACAGACTGAGATAGATAGATAGATAGATAGATAGATGGATAGATAGATGAATGGATAGATAGATGAATGATAGGAATAACAGAGATAGGTAGGAACAGACAGATGGATAGATAGATAGATGGATGGATAGATAGATAGATGGATAGATAGATGGATGGATGGAATGGATACAGATGGATAGGTAGGGAACAGACTGAGATAGATGGATGGATGGATGGATGGATGGATGGATGGATAGATGGATAGATAGATAGGAATAGATGGATGGATGGGAACAGACTGGATATGGATGGATAGATAGATGGATAGATAGATGGATGGATAGATAGATAGATAGATAGATGGAATGGATGGGTGGAACAGACTCAGATAGATAGATAGATAGATAGATAGATAGATAGATAGATAGATAGATAGATGGATAGATAGATAGATATGTAGAATAGTGAAGGAGAAAAGAGAGAAGTTCATACTGATATCTCCCGGTGTGGTTGGGGCGGGATGCTTCTATTCTCATGAGTGGCCGCAACTTAAAAAGAATTTTCCCTTGAATCTTATCTTGTCTTTTTTCTTGTTGGATATCGGGGCTGGTTCCTGATTCCTTGACTTTCACTCATTTAAACCCGTCTCCAATGGCTAGGAATTGGTCAATGAGTGCTTCTGTATCTCTTGTAATGAGATTGATTGAGAAAAACACAACCAGCTACTCCATTTCACCCGTAGGTCATTAAGATCACGGTTTACAGATATATCATATTGAAATACTGGATCTCGTACGATCACGAAAGTTAAGCAACGTCGAGCCTGGTCAGAACCCAGATGGGTGAGCACTTGGGAATACCAGGTACTGTAAGATTGGTTGTCTGTGTGTGTGTGTGTGTGTGTGTGTGTGTGTGTGTGTGTGTGTGTGTGTGTGTGTGTGTGTGTGTGTGTGTTGTAATGGATAATGACACGAAATTGTTAATCTGAAAGCCGCGTTCTAATTCCAGTTTGGATTCGTTATAATCAATTACGCGCAAGTACTCTTGGGTAATGTATGAATCCATCTCTTATCCTTCCCAGCTATGAGTTAAATAGTGAGACAATTCTCTTGGGCAATGTATGAATCCACCTTTTCTCCTTCCACCTATGGGTTAAATAGTAAGACAATGCTCTTGGATAATATATGAATCCATCTCTTCTCCTTCTAGCTATGGGTTAAATAGTAAGACAATTCTCTTGGATAATGTATGAATCCATCTCTTCTCCTTCCAGCTACGAGCTAAATAGTAAGACAATTCTCTCGGGTAATGTATGAATCCACCTCTTCTCCTTCCAGCTATGGGTTAAATAGTAAGACTTGTATCAGAAAATCATTATTATCTCCAAAACATTCTTACAATCCAAAAATATGTTTTGTTTTTAGCAACTTTTTGAGATTATTTAAAGCCGAAGTTGAGGAAAGTCAAGTTTGGTTAGTAACAAAATGCTTTTTTTTTTTTTTTGATTGATTGATTGATTTGTTTCTATCAACTTTTTTTTTTGAGGTTTTATTTAAAGCCGAATCAATCAATCAAAAACATCTTGGTACTGACCAGATTTGACTTTCGTTAAATTCGGGGATCGTAGGAGAATAGGTATTTCCTGAGGAAAAATATGAATCCATTTCTTTCCCCACCCCCAGCTATCAGTTAATTAGTAAGTTTTATATCACTAAAATCCACTGTTATCTCCAAAAAATAAAAATAAAATTGCGTACAAAATATTTAGATTTAGGCATTAAATAGCCGCTAAACAAAAATAACCAAACAAAATTCCCATCAAAACCTGCAGAATTTTACTGAAAAGTCATCGAAAAGATGCAACAGGCCATTGCAAATAACGATGAATTTATAATTGAATAAAATTTAATTTTACTTTAATTTTTGTTGATAAACAAAAACGGAAATTATTTATGACTAAGCCTAATAAAAAAAAAAAATCATTTTTCTTTGTCCTATCCACAAGCCGAAGTTATAACTTTTTTGCTGTTGTTTTTACCTTACCCTAGCAAAGCATACCCTATTACTTTCCTTTTATAAGATTTCTTTTCCTCTAAATATTTTTCTGCAAACTTTTGCAATCATGAGATATCTATAAGAATAGACTACGTGTAACATGTATGTATGAAATATATATATATTAGAGTATATTAAGAAATGGACAAAGTCCGACAATTTATTTATTAAAGACATTTTTATGTTTAACGTTCTTTTTTATAGATACAAGTATTTAAGTAAATGCTCTGTTTATAATAAACAGTATTAAATAACATTTACCGGCCTGAATGTCCGAGAAATTTTCATAGAAAATATTCGTCCTTTGACAGGATTCGAACCTGCATCCTATACGGAACCGTCATTTACGCTGACGTGCCTTACCGTCTCGGCCACAAAGTTTATAAGCAGTAAATTCGACCTTGCCTACCGGACGCTCCTTACCGGACAATAATAATTAAGGGGTTGCAGTCTAGGAATTTAACTGATCAGATGTCTGATGCGATCGCAGAAATTGTCTGATAGACTGTGTTCTCCTGCTTGTGTGGCATGGTGCAGAGTCCTTTTGTCATACATAGAGTCTTCCAGCAGCCACCCTGTTGACCTAGGACAGCACTACCTCCTCAAGGCATTTGATGTAGGCCTCTGTGTTGAGTAAGAGGTCATGTAGGAAGAAGAATGGAGGCATAACGCCGCCATCACTAGTGATAACTTCAAATATCTTCGTAATCGCCATTAGATTTATCCAACTCTTTCTGAATCCTCTGCACTGTCTTCAGATTGACACCCAAACATTCTGAAATATTCGTATTGGAGCACCCGGTGCGAATGCAAAGCAGTACAGTATGCGGTTTCCAAATTTCTGGTGGAACTGAATATATATATATATATATATATATATATATATATATATATATATATATATATATATATATATATATATACCAACTTGATAAACTAAACTATGAAACAAGTAAAAAAGAATGTGAATAATAATTGCATGAAATTTAACTCGCGTATTATCAAATGTGAACCAAGAGTCACTACCCGTCTGTCTCGACACCGATGACTCATTCCACCACCGGCTTCGTTCTCTCTGTATGCGCCTATGCACGATTGTCTTTCTAGATCCAAATCCAGCGCCTTCTCACTTCTGTTGGAAGGACCCTTCCCTGGTTGACCCCCACCATTTCCTATCACTGGCCAGACCGGGATATGTTCGGCCGAGGTATCGGGTCAAAAATCGCGCCCTCTTGCCGCCCTCTATTCCTTTTCCCCTGCCTTGTTGTCCACTCTGTCGCTCTAATTGTCTACCTGTTTGTCTCTAAGACGATAGCTGTGGCCAGCCCATCTATGTTTGTCTTTTTTTGATGGTCTCGATTATGTCCTTCATTCCAATCTGCTGCCGAATCCAAATGTTGCTCTTCCTGTCACGCAAGGTGATGACGAGTATAATTCATTTTACGTTGTACCACTGAAAGTCTCATCCGTGGTGATGTCGAGTCCCCATGTTGCATTTCTATAAGTCATCATTGGCAGAAAAAATTCATTGAACAACTTTCTCTTGGTTTCGATTGTTGACTTGGGACTTGTCATTTATAAGATCATCATCAGTCACTTACTCCGCTTGTTGCAGACTGCACATCAACATGAGATATTCTTCTCTACAAAGTTCGATCATCAAAGTTCAATGAGTAAAGGTCAAGTCCAGTCCGTAAGTGGACATTATCACGCCAGTGTTTTGGCTGTCGACCTTTGCTTCTCTTGCCGCCTAACTTTCCTTCTAGGAATAACTTGCTCACACCATGAGTTGATCTTTCATAACTGATGTGATTAACTTAAGCTTAGTAACGTTGAGTATCTCATAGATACAGATACGGTCGCCGAGACGTTTATTAGTCATGATATGGTTCTGGAATGTAGCAAGCTTTTGAAATGACTTTGTCGTCCAGCTAACACAATCGAGATCATATAACACAACTGGTAGAATTTCAGTGTCAGTTATGTGCCATGCGTGATACACGATTAGGCAATCATGTATCTTTCGATACATGACTGACGAGGCAGATTTTTTACTGCAGTAGATTGCCATTTCTTTCTGCGGTAGACCAGTTGCCATCCAGGGCTATAGAACCCGGTCTGTCCTGCTATTTACTCGGGTGGGAGGAGAAGATGATTCATACCTTTCCCAAGGGTATTAGAACGTAAGTGAATGTAATGGATTCGACTGTAATTCGAATCCATTACATTTTACTTATGTGATAATAATACCTATGGGAAAGTACGAATCCTCTTCTGTAAGTGTCAAAAATCTTAGACTTCAAATGATGAGAAACTCGTTTTGATGTTAGCACTTCTTTGTTCTTAAAAATGTCCAACCCAGAACGATGACTTGCTGCACAACCGCCATTCCATTTTTGTTTGATGACAGCTTCTGACTGAGATATAAACTCCGTAACTTGAGTGATTTGCTGGTTGTACATTATGAGTTACAGATTGGAATTGTTTTTATCAGCTGTCACGAACTTCGTTTTTGAAATGTTGATGTTTAAGCCAACCTCTAATGCATGTTTGGCCAGTACATTCAGAAGGTTTTGCAGATCAGTTCTAGAGTAACAGATTGATTGCCAGATCATTTTCATATCCTATGTGATAGCCAGAGGAGCATTCTTCTTCTACAGTTTGGTAGATAAGCGCAGCTATAAAGATACAGAAAAGAAGTGCAGACAGGACGTCTCCCTGCTTAACTCCTTTCAAGATGTCTACATAACGTTTAGTTGCCAAATCTGTTTTGATATATACTGTTGTGTTGGTGTAAGTTTCTTTCAGCGTGTTGATGTAATTCTTGTTAATAGATAAAAATGAATGAAAAACGAAAATAATACCAAAATGCTTGTAGATATACTATGATTAAGATTTTCGATTAATCGATTGGTTTGTTTAATGGCATATCAAATCCTTTATGGGCCATTTAATGCCAAAATTTAATTTTTTTATGAGCTTTGAAGTAATAAAAATATTATGTCATTCTGCTTTCACAATTGAATACATGGTAGATGATACTCAGCTTTTGTGCATATAGATGTTTGTGTGGCCATAATTACTAGAGGCCGTGATAAGTGTATTTTATGTTATATTACAGTTCGATTTCTTTAAGAAATGGTTGGATATTATATGGATTAATGTTAGGAAAGAGTTCTTTCATGTTCGTTGGTTGATTTTTTTTAGCGGCTGTTCAGGTTGCACAGTGTGAGCGCCAAATGAATATAAAACTCGGCATGACAGAGTGGGTCAATATCTGTACTGGAAAATATGCAACTTTTAAGTGAATGAAACTGCAATAACCTAGTATGAACTTCACCCAGACCCAGTTACAGAGATAGAATCTCTAACAATTTTATGGGACTTTACACACAGACAGAACAATCAAAACTAAATGTTCAGACATTGTGACCAAAGACCACAAGAATAGAATCTGCCTCCTTATTGACATGGCAGTCCCTGAAGATTGTAATGGATAACTGCAGATCTTAAAAAAGCTTTCAAAATACAAGGACCTTGAAATAGAAATCTCAAAAGCGCGTCATATGTGGACATCAATAATTCCAGTTTTAGTTGGAGCCTTCGGTTTGATTGGAAAAACTTCTGATAGACTCATTGAAGGGATTGTGAATTGAAGGGGATATATCCATGGAAATGTGGGAGATTTTTGGTTAAAAAATGTTCAGTGAAAATGTTATGATGTCATTTCTGACCTCAAGCCTCTGGTTGAGACCCGCTAGTAATCAACAGAAATCCAAGAAAATAATAATAATAATAATAATAATAATAATAATAA